CCCCCCCCCCGGTCCCACCAAGCCCAAAAAAGCCCGGTCTAGATAGGGTTAAACTAATATAAACTTTTTTCCAGAGACATTTAGGAAAGGTCTCCAAATTCGATACTTCGTAGCGCAAACCGTTTAGCCGCTATCTGAGATCAAAGTTAGGCCTCAAAACCCCCTTAAGTCTGAAATGAGTTTAAAAATCGGGTATTTCTTCTTGTCTTCTTTTCTTCACCAAAAAAGTTAAAAATGTGAGATTTTTGTATGTAATGTGGACACAGAGGTCCCCACATCTGTTTGCAAAACAATTGAGCTGGTAGCATGTTGATAATTTCTAAATATTAGAAAAAAACTGTTCTGGGGTCCGCGCGGTCCGCGCGGACCCCAGGTGTACAGATTAATCAGTCCTGGAAGTAGTACTGTTGAGGGTTAACCTGCATTGTACTGGTAACTAAGAGAAGAATGAAATAAGGGCCCTGTCAAACTTCTGCGTATTGCCATTGCGAATGAGTTGTACATAAATATTTCTGCCGTACGCACAATACGTAACGTTACTGTGACGCAAATGTACCGTATAGATAACGAATTTAGCGCAAAGATTGCATATGACATCCGTATAGCGTTCGCATGCATTGCGCAGGCCAAGCGTATACCGGACGCACTCAACGTATGCCAACCGGATGCCTAACGCACTTTCGACGAATGCCATGTGTATTGCGGGGTATTACCTGCTGCTTAATGCTGTTTCTTTTGCAGAGGGTCCTTCTTATCATGGGCGCCCTCAACTCAGATGAAATGTGTTTGTTTTCATTTCGTCCTAGCCCTGGTCACTTCCCTGTAATATCTTGTCCGGTAAATTAAATACCCGTACTCGGCCTTTATACAATCACTGTACACAAAATTGCGCATGTGCAGTCCCAGGCGAAGATCAACGTGTGCCTCTCGAACAAATAGTGTTTACATACCGTGCCTGGCCGATGCATTGCGTATTTATAACCTATGACCTGTGTAACAGCGTACGCAGCCTAGTTTTAGGGCCCTGTCACACTTCTGCGAATAGCCATTGCGTATGAGTTGCGTACAGACATTTCTGCCGCACGCACAATACGCGAGGGTACTGTAGCGTATAGATAACGAATTCTGCGCATAGATTGCATATGACATCCGTATGGCGTTCGCATGCATTTCGAAGGGCAAGCGTATTCCGGACGCACTCAACGTATGCCCACCGGATGCCTAACGCACTTCCGACGAATGCCAAGCGTCTTGTGTGCGTATTCCCTGCTGCTTCCTGCTGTTTCATTCGCAATGGGTCCTTCTCATCATGGGCCGCCCTCAACTCAGATAAAATGTGTTTGTTTCCATTTCGCCCCAGCCCTGGTCAATTTCCTGTAATATATTGTCAGGTAAATTAAATACACGTACCCGGACTTTATACGAACATAACAGTTA